TTTACCATTCTCAATACTTCCTCATTGGTTTTCTTTTCTATCGAATTATGTCCTTTATCCTCCTCCAGTACCACATCTCAAAAGCTTCTAATCTTTCTCTATCTCTTTGTGTCAGTGTCCATGTTTCACATCCATAAAGTGCAATACTCCAAATGTACACTCGAATTAGATGTTTCTTGTTCTTGCATGACAAGCTGAGTGATTTTAACAGTTGTTTTTTTATGGTTAAAAGCTGTTTTTGCCATAGCAATTCGTGCAACAATATCAGGTGTACCTACACCTGGAGTCTTTGGTAATTAAACTGTTCAAATATCTGAAACTTTTAACCCGTTCAATTGGTGTATCTTTGAATACTATTGGCGAATGTTTTGAGTGGTGTTTTAAATGTTGGCGTTTTGGTCTTCTTTATGTTTATCTTTATTCGCCATTAACATTTTTTTGTATTTCTACAAATCTTGCACCCTGTAGTAACGTTTTTGCGTCTTTTGGTACGTGGCGGGCTGAAATTAATTAATTATAAATAACAAATCATTCATGGCTCTTTGAGTGATGCCGTGATTGACAGACCATTGATGAAAGTTAACTCTCATATTATGTGCACGATCATAATGGTTAGACTCTTCACCTTCAGATTCCGTCCAAATACAGTTTTCATCACTATTGAATTTTTTTTTATTACTATTATGTTTTTGGACCGCAGATGCAGCATTATTACAGATTGTTGTACATGGTCCGATGTTGAAGGTTCTTCTTTATTATTATATTCTAATACGCGTAGAGAAGTTTACGGCAACTCCATATTATCTTTCATATATTGCTGCACTCTTCTTCCAAATCCACCAGATCTTTTAATATTATTTACCTTATCCTTTTTATATGAACACTTACAATGTCCAATAGAGTAAAAACTCTAATTATAGTATTTTTTTAAATAAAATCCATTGAAGACGCACTATAACGTGTTTGTCAATAAGTATAAATACTACAGAATGTCTACTAATGAAATATTATATCTAGAATAAACTTAGAACACTAGTGTTTAGATTATTAATAGACTTTACTAGATAAGTGTAGAACAATCTCACTAAAAATAATCAGTTGGTCTACAGATGAACTTAAAATAAGGACTATGAGAGTAAATCTTAAGAGAGATCACACTTAATTAAGTTGTTTGGTATTAAGACAGTTTTAAAATATTGACTTTCAAGTCAAGTGAAATAAGTCTATAAGAACAATTTATTTTTTCCAAAACCATTTTTAGAGAACTATTATCTAACCCTATACCATATTCAGACTGTTTATAGATTTAATCGTTTTGAGGCGCATAAAGTGTGCTCCTGGGGAATATAAACCCCCGGAGATAGAGTAATAACCACCTGGGTATATATTAGCTCATTTTAGTTCCTCGATAAAAATATACTATTTAGGACTGAGATCCCTGCACTAACTGGGAATATAATTTTTAATTTAGATGGTTGAACAGATGTTCATCAGAGCTAAGAACCATCCCTATTAAAATAGCCTTTTGATCAGTCCAGCCGTTTGGAAGTTACGATGCCACAGACACAAAGACAAAGTTTGAACTCCCCTGTTTTTGCGTCGAGAGTTAAAAAGAAAATAACAAGAAAAAGTTAATGGCTCATGTTTTATCTAACAGATCGATCTTTCAGTGTCGTAATTAACGGCTATCAATCAAGCCCTAAAAACGTGGTGTCGAGTATTCCACAGGGATCGCACTTGGGTCCCCTATTATTTAATATCTTTATAAATTATATACACAACTGCTTTAGGTTTTCGAAGTTATTTATGTATGCTGACGATCTCAAATTTGCCAAAATAAACTCTGTCAACGATGTACAGCTGCTTCAATACGACTTGAACAGACTAGTTGTATGGTGTAGATTAACCCAACCAAATGCTTTTTTTGTAAAATTTTGTCGCAAATTCAATATCATTTCCTCTAAATACTATATTGACAACCATCTAATTCTAGAATATGATCAAATTAGAGACCCCGGAGTATTGTATGATTAGAAGTTAACTTTCGTTTCACATATAGAAAATGTTATCATATAGAATGTTAGGGTTTGTAATGAGAAATACCAAAAACTTGAAACCTTCTTTATTTTTATTTCTTTTTAAAGTTCTGCGTAACCACATAAATTGCCCTCAGTTGCCAGCTCTTTCCAATTACCGTGCCCCGTTAAGACTGCCTCGTCACCCCACCGCACCTCTCTATCCTCCGTCAAGTGTGTTAGGTGCAAACCCACCTGTACCCAGACTGTCCAATCTGCTTAAGCAAATCAGTCACCATAGCAAGTTCCGTGCACTTGTACTTAACAATTATTAAGTAAGTAGATATTTTTTCGTTTCAGATTTTTTCTTTTATATTGTTAAATAATCCGATGTAGTTACTATTTAATCTTAATTTAGTCCATTACGTGTCTACATATTTAGAATGCGGTGTTTGCCTGTAATTAACTGTTGCATTTAGCATTAAGGTAATATTGTACTTTCCTAGTTGTAATTTTAGTGTAAGCAGTTGCTGGTGAACCAATAAAAAAAACGACGTTTGGCAACATACTCAATATTTAATTAGACCACATGATTTGACTACGAGAAATACTTATACCACGACGTTTAAAACGATTGAATTGTCTTCCTCAGATTCATACAAATAGTAGAAAACACTTTTCATGCGAACATCTTCTTTCAATTAAGTGGAACTGTGGCTATAATTTGTATCATCGGTCTACGAATTTCAATCGTAAGTGATGATGATTATTTTATTTAAAGTAGTTACTTCACAAACTTCAGTAATTGAAAATGTTGTCTAACCTTTGTGGCATAGCTAGAAGTTCGCCATTTTGAAAAAGTCATTAAAAAATATTCAAAATGATGGATCGTAGAAAAAATTATAGATCAAAGAATAAAAGATAAAATGATAAATTATTGTCTAATATAATTATAATATACAGGATGTAAATTTGAGACGGGGCAGCAAGGTCAGCTACCTTAATCGTTGTAGTTACAGGAAAACGGTTTTAGAAGATTATCCATGAATTTTGAAGATATTTAGATTGACGTTCACAGATTTTGAAAAAATGGTACAGTCAGCAAGGTAAAATGAAATTTTTACAAAACTTTTTTTTAGTGCCATTCGATCCGGTCTCTGGTAAAAATTAATAGTCTCTATGGGACCAACTGAGGTAAGAGTACTTGAAATTTCAGAAATCGCAAAAAACATTTTACTATACATTTTAAATTACAACTTTTTGTTAGAAAAAAAATGGATGTCGGAGTCGGAGAGCATGGAGTCTTCTAGAACCGTTTTCCTGTAACTACAACGATTAAGGTAGCTGGCCTTGCTGCCCCGTCTCAAATTTACACCCTGTATACATAAATATATAATAAGGCTGCTAACAGATTGACTGCATATGTGCAGTGAATGCGGGAAGTCGATCTCGGCTGCATGAAGTTGGTTTCGACTGCAGGCAGTTAATACGTGAAGTCGTTATCAATTTCATGCTCGAGTTCTCGGATATATTGCGTGAAGTCGTTATTATGTAGTTGATCACGACTTCACTCATTAACTGCAAACATGCAGTCGATGTTAGCAGACTAACGTGAAGAGATATTGCTCTTGTTGGCAGGTGGAAAAGAACAGTGTTCAATTCTTCTCGATGCTGAATTATATGGTGACCATGCTGTCGCAACTGTTCTTGTATTGCTGGTGCGGTAATGAATTGACTATTAGGGTAAATATTTTATACTTTATTTTGTAGACGACTTTGTTGGCTCAACTACTAGCACTATGCAGTAGGTGTGGAAATTCCGGATTTATTTCCAGAATTAGTTATCAACATATCTGCGATGATGATCCTCCTCCAGGTGTCATTATTAATAAATTTCTTCATGGATATTTTGTCGGAAATTGGCGGTTCCAGTTAAGAATATTCTGGTTTCAGAATCATTTCTAGAATGTTCATGTGAGTTGAAGGAAGTAAAAAAAATATTTCTCAAAATACCTTATTTTCAAGGATTCGCTATAAGCTGGGGCCTTACCATGTACTGTTATTACGATTCAGTTTAGGACCAAAAATGAATCGTTGTGAGACAGCGCTACACGAAGTGTATATCACCATCCCACTTTTTTGTCGTTACGAACCTTTACTGTACTGTAATATTAAGGCCCCAGGTCAAAAAAGCATTTAAGTTCTTGTGAAAGGAGCGAAAAATACGGGTTTCGAGTCGGCGCGGGGGAAGCGGAAACGAAACGCGCAAGGTTTATTTCGCTGGCATTAATTATCGCATTAATCGAGACTATTTACATAGACTTAGTTTCGATTAATGCTATTAAACCTTTATTGTATATACTAGGGCTTTCATTCGACGAGATTTTGGCATTTTCGAGGATGATGTTTTTACTCTCGGGAATATCGAGATTTTTGATACTTAAGTAACTTAAATAAGCAGTATTAAAAAAACTACTAAACCAAGTGTAATTTTTATTCCAGTTTTTTATTTTATTTTATTTTTTATTTATTTATTTTAAACACTAAGAATATTACAAAAATATATATACATCACACCCTTAAACCTTAAAGTTATATAGACATGGCAACACTGTAGAGTGGAGCTTGGTACCGCCTTATATAATATAATACAAGGTGCACGAAAAAAGCCTCCCGCCACGACGCGACGTAGGTACCGGTCGTTTGTATCTGGCGCACCCTGGGCTACAATCAGCGAGTACGATACGCCAATTGGCAAACTCATTCAACACGATGGCAAGCATTATAGTGTATGCTACCAATGTGATACGAAGAAGTATAATTTGTGGATATTAAAGAACTATAGCAATAAAATCAAGTCCTCTCTATCAGAAACCCAAAAAATGCTATTACCACAGTCTAACCAATTATTCTTCACACTATGCTATTACCTTAATAAATACTTTTTTATTTGTTTTGTTTGACTTATTAAATAGGTACCTACTATAGAAATAGTTTCGCTTTTTCCTCGGGATTTTCGAGACCGCACCAGGTCTCGAAACGAGACTGAAAGCCCTAGCATACACAAAACTTTTATAAGCAAGCCGATTCCGCGTGGTGGTAACTAATCGATCTTAATTAACGATTGAAGTTTAACTACACGATTGTAAAATGTTCTATTGTTATTCTAGAGTCAAGATCTTCGTGACTGGTTGTACCAATGTCCGTGGTACGACCAGGACTTGAAGTTCCGTCGGTCTCTATGGATCACCATGGAGCGAATGAAAAAATCGATCATTTTCAAAGCTGGCCATTACATACCACTGTCGAGGCCTACTTTTGTATCAGTAAGTTTTGAAAGCTATTAGATATATCAATGTTTTTTTTTTTTTTTTTTTTTTTTTTTTTA